AACTTCCCAAGTTTGGTGTGAAGCGTCCGATCGTAGTGTCCATTTTCCTTGGTTCGGCGTGCCTTCTATGTGTTTTGCGTAGAAGGCAAGTGGTATTGTCTACAAGTCAACAAAGGAGAAGATAAGCAAAGGAAATAAACAGAGGAGAAATAGAGAGCGTGTGTATACCACGCCACTGTAGAAACCAGGAAGCAGAGGCCTCAAGAAGTGAGGTTCATGCTGATTCGCCATCTGCAAACAAGAAACGAATTGGAAACATTCTAATTCTAAGTCGTCTGGGTCGTCCACCTTGTAAACCTATAATTAAGTCGTCTGGAAAGTCTTCCAGGTGGAAGACTTTCCAGACGACTTAATTATAAGTCTACCAAGACTTCTAGTAGAACTTCCAGGTGGACGACCCTAAAATGACCGTAAAATGAGAGGAAAACAACATCCAACCTAACTAAACAACAAGTCGATTGAAATCCCCAATTTTTGAAACCCTAATTTGAAACCAAAATTACCCCAAATCGTTGAAAACACAAAACCAAATGGTAAAAGTTAAGGAAAACAACATCCATCCTAATAAAACCCATAAATCTGCAAGAGAAGCCTTCGATTTACCTTGGTCTTGTATCGGATCGAAATCGCCTCGAAATCACCTTTGAGAGAAACGGCGTTAGGGTTTTCTGAATTTCACGAAAAGTGCGTAAAAAGATAATCTTCTTATATATGTCCGGTAAAAAATCCGGTTAGGTTTAAAAGTAATTTGGTAAAATCCGGTTTGGACGACTTATTATTAAGTCGTCAGTTTATACTATACATCCGACTAAGTCGTCTGCCTTATTAAATATATTTACCAGACAACTTAATTATAAGTCGTCTAGACCCTAAACCCTAAACCCTAAACTAAATTGACTAAATTAACTACTAACCATGTTATAAAATCAAATTATACTTAAATATTGTTTACTATACACAGAAATAAACATACTTAGGTAAATTTTAAAGTTTTCAAAAAAAACATTTATGCTTTCGAATTTCTAACCCTAAGAAACACATACAATACTACAACATATGTCGGTGAAACCTAAACTAAAGAATATCATCACTCACTACTTCCACTCATCTATGCTGAAAACAACTGACTTTTTTTATATCTTAATTTATATCGCTTAAGACATATGTTAATTACATAATCCCAATTTTTCATTTATCAAGATATTTATTACACAATTTTTAAATTATTTTTAAGAAAAACTGTCCCAGACGACTTGCGAGGACTAGAAACGTAAAAAAAAAGACTCTTTTTTTGTTTGTTCACAAGGGGTTGGTTGTAATTTCAACAGCCTTTTAAGTTACTTTTGCATTTGATTCAAGTTTGGGTTTACTTTTGCATTTCAAATCAAGTTTTGAGTCATATTTGGCAATTTTCCCATATATATATTATAAAATACATAAACATGTTAATTTCAAATTTTGCTTTGAGTAGGAAGCATCAGTTAATAAATATTCATATAAATAAAAATAATATTTATTAGACTAAATATTAGATGTTAGTTAAATCATATGAGTATGAATGCCAATTAATAAATATTCATATTAAAATATATTATATAGTTTTATTAATATCATTTAAATTTAATTATATACCATATAAAATAAATAATTAATTATTTTGATTTTTTATGAACAAAAAAATTTGTAAGTAAAAAGAGGGAAGGTTTTTATTTATATGTTTACTCCAGTTTAACTTTATACGTAATAGTTACTCGTTTCTCAATTATTCAATATACTTTTACTGCATAATACGTAAATGAACATAAAATAAATAATAATATGTATAAATGATTTTCATACATAATTAATGTTCATTCCACGCAAGTATGGCTCTCAAAAGTTATTTAATATTACAAAATACAATTTTTCATATCAAAATGAGATGGTGAATTTTAACATCTGGATGATATTATTGAAGCCCAATGTAAATAGGTTTAAAAAAAAATCAAAAATATCAAGAGACATGATGGTTGAACGATCAAAATTAGTATTCAATGATTATTAATATATAAATTTTACCCCTTGCATATGTGCGGGTTATCACCTAGTATCCATATATTTATCAAAGAAAATTTAATATATTTTGCTAAATTTCTATTAATTATAAAGTTAAGTTACTAAAAATTTGGATGTTACATAATATACATATATGTTTGATAAGGGTCCAAACTTTTTAAAAAATTTGGTATATCATTTATGTTAAAATGGCTCAAATTTTCAATCTTTATATCTTTGTTAAAAGGACCCAAAATTTCACATTAATTCAGCAAAATGATTTTATAACAAATCCATAGGTTTATATATGTTAAAAGGACCTAAAAGTGTACAAATTCCATATAGTTGAACACTTAAAATACTATACAAAGTATTTTGCACTGGGCCATTAACAACCTTTCATATGATCTGGATGATACATATATAATATATCTATATGAAAAACAAATAATATTATAACTTTGTAAAAAAATAAAACCATGCGAGCAAGCGGGTGAAAATCTAGTATAAGAATTAAAAAGGATTAGAATCACAATAGATCTGTATTTATATCATACATTATTTGGACTGGGCCAAACCCTGCATTTTAACATCCACATGTTTGAGATACACTGAAAGTACAAGAAAGGTTGATAACAACAAAGACTTATTCTCATTCACTCCAGAAACTAAGATATTAAAAAGAAGCAAGCCCGGGCCAACTGATTACTACTACACATGAGAGATCATTACAGAGACTTAGGATGTTCTTTTTTTTTTGTGTTATCAACAATCGTTAGGTTTTATTCTGCAGTTATATAACATATATAAACAGATTTTCAGCGAATGAATTGAATCCTAATTAACCTGTGACCATGGTGATCTAGTGCGTTGGAAACAGAAAGGAAACTGATCATTGGGAAAGCAAGACATCTTAGTTTTATCTGCATCCATCGTCCATATAGAATCCAAGGAGCTTTCCCATGATGGAGAAGCCAGAGTTGGGTAACTTAAGCAATAGCTTTGCTCTGAATATATTTCTTTAACTGGTTTGATTATGTCTGCACAGTGATCGATCTCTTTCCATATGTCATCCATTGAATATCCGTTTTCTTCGGTTTCTTGATTAATTTCTCTATTTCCTCCAGTGTCGTAAAAGCTCACTTTCCCTGACGACATCCGTGACTGAAACGACACATCTTGAGTACTGGTCGTGGTCATAGAGGAAGAGCAGCAGTTGGAATATGACGAACTTGGAGAAACAGGACGCTTCTTTGCTTGGGTCTTCTTCCTCATATGAGTCCTCCAGTAGTTCTTTATCTCGTTGTCTGTTCTTCCTGGCAATTTTCGAGCTATTTTTGACCACCTAGATATACATAGATGCAAACTTTAAAATATATGATTTTGACCACCTAAATATATATATAGATTTGTTTTTTTTTGTTTCTCAGATTGGTCAGACCTGTTTCCCCATTTAGCGTGAAGCTCAAGGACGAGACGCTCTTCTTGAGGAGTCATCTTGCCACGTTTGAGACCAGGATGAAGGTAGTTAACCCACCTAAGCCTGCAACTCTTTCCTGTTCTGTTCAAACCTACAATCAAAACTAGCTCAGTAATAGATGTACCTACCTATTTATCTTTCTCCCTCCACCTTCAAACCTGATACTTTTGCTATAAAATCCCATCGCCGATCTCCAAATAAGTGTACGAAATTTACCAGAATCATGTCTTCTTGTTCTGTCCATGGACCCTTTCGGTTTTCCTCTTGCACAGTTCTCATCTCTATCTTCTTATTCTTCTCTCTGTCACTCGCTTATCTTTATCTCTAATGCTACTAACAAGTTTTTTCTCAACTTGTTCACCATGGCCTGATCTGGCCACTATATATATATTAGCTAAACACTGGTGTGTCCACGCGATATCACACTCACAATATTAAAATTTAATGATTTCCTTTTCTTTTGTCCAATCTTATACTGTCCATTTGTTTGAGGGATTATCCTATTGATAATGTAGGGTCTCTTTATTATGATGTCAGAAGGCCATTATATATTTAAAAAAACGTGATCGTCAAGAGTCTGATTGGTGTTACTGATGTAACACTCCCATTAATTCTGCCTTTTAACTTTTGTGCCTTCTGAGTGAGTGATTGATAATAAGAACTCTTTCTTATATCCTTCTGGCAGGCACTATCTCAAATGGGGATATGATATCAATAGCATCAGAAATCTTCTAAATCAAAGCCAAAGAGAAAATGGTATGCTTTTAAATAGTTCCGTGTTATGTAGACCAGAAAACTCTTAAATATAAATTATCTTCGGGTGCTAAAAATTCGAAATAAACAAAGTGAGACACTAGATCTTTCTTTGCCTTTTCGGTGGGGATATGAAAGTATTGCGTCTCTTGACTTTATTAAGGGTTATAATGGTAGTAACTGTTGAAGTTTCGAATAGGGAAAAGAGAGAAGAAAGAAACAGACAAAGCTTTGCCAGAAAGTAATTGTTATAAGAGCCTGTGATAAGTGAGTTTTTTTATCTAGTATCAGCACCTGAACTTGTAACTAGATAGTATCATTTTAGGTCTTCAGTCTGTGCTTATGATTTTTCCTCTTGGTTCTGCAGATTAATTGTCCCAACACACTCGCAAGTACAAAGTAAAATAGGGAAAGTTTTAGCTACGCATGTGTATTACTTAGCCACTTAAGGAGTCTTATTGATGCATAATAGAAATAAGGCTGCAGCGCAATTTTGAGAGAGAGTCTGCTGGCATAGGGAAAGCAGAGAATGAATGTACATTCTTCTCTCTAGTTGGCATAATGTGTTAGAGTTATGATAAAGTATACGATTGTCAATATCTTAACTGCTCTGTTTTAGGAAAGTATCGTAACTACATTGTTGTAGATAAGTCACGATGTACTATTGAGAAGATATGCAATACACAATATACTTCTTATATGGATGGTATCAAGAGCATCTCGATAACCCTACATTTTTTTGTCTCTCTTCTTCAACAGCCGCCCACCCTTTTACTCGAAACTTAGCTCACCATGGCTAGTATTGCAAAACAAGTCGATGACACACAATCACTCCTCAACATCAACATGGTCAACATCTCAAAACTCACCTCAACAAACTTCATGACTTGGAACCTTTAAGTCCATGCGCTTCTGGATGGATATGATCTTGCTGGTTACATCGATTGAACCACAACAGAACCAGACAAGATGATCACAGTCCCTAACGTCCCAACACCCAACCCGGAACACACCAAGTGGTGCCGTCAAGATCGCTTGATCTATAGTGGTCTCATCGGCACATTGTCAACAGCCATTCAGTACATGGTAACGAACACAAAAACATCAAGAGATGTATGGAAATCTCTGAGTGCCACATACGCCACTTCTAGCCGTGGCCATATACAACAACTTTGACTCCAACTCAAACACTTACTAAACGCAACAAGTCTCTCGATGACTACATGAGAGGCCTAACAAGCAGGTTCGATCTATTTTCTCTGCTTGGAAACCTCTTGACCATGAGGACAAGATAGAGTACATCATTTATGGCCTCCCTGAAGACTATAAGTCTGTTACAGAACAGGTTGAAGGTCGTGACACCACCCCATTCATCATTGAGATCCATGAGAAGCTTATCAACAAGGAAGCCAAACTTCTGACCAGGTCAACACCCACGCTGAACTATGTTCTTGTAACGGCAAACGTCGCAACAACTCGCTCAAAAAATCAGAACAATCAACATTATCGTGGCGACAGCAATACCAACTGGAAAAACAACCCGCAACAGTCCTACAACAACCAGACAAGACATGATCCTCGTCCTTTAAGAGTGTACCAAGGAAAGTGTCATATTTGCAGTGTGTTTGGTCACAGTACGAGGAGGTGTCCTCAGATGGGACAGCAGTACGCAAAAGTCTTCAACTCCAACCCGTTTACCCCATGGCAACACAAAGCCAACATGGATGTTGCTGCGCAAAATCCTGCTACTGCGTGGCTCATAGACTCAGGCGCCACACACCATATCACTCAGTTCTCACTAAAGACGAATCATGTTTATCGATAACACATACTGGTTCCCTCTCATTACCTACGATTAATAGGCCTCGCCATCTTAACAATATCTTATGTGTCCCATATATCAAAAAGAACTTAGTCTCGGTTTATCGTCTGTAATGCTAATAAAGTTTCGGTTGAATTTTCCCCTACTCACTTTCAGGTGAAAGATCTCAGCTCGGGGTTCCCGTTAATCCAAGGCAAGACCAAGGATGAGCTGTACGAGTGGCCCATTACCAAACCTACCCTTCAATCATTGTTTGCTTCCACTTCACCAAAACTCAAACTATCCGATTGGCACTACCACCTAGGACATCTGTCTGCTTCTGTTCTTCAGTCTATTATATCAACTTTTTCATTACCTTATGCTCAGTCTGTAACTTCAAACATCTTATGCTTAGATTGTGCTATCAATAACACATAAACTACCTTTCTTTCAATCCTCTATCACCTCAAACAGACCTTTACAATACATATTTACTGATTTATGAAACTCTCCAATCCTATCCATTGATAACTACAAATACTACCTTGTATTAGTTGATCACTACACTCGCTATACCCATTGAAACTCAAATCTCAAGACCTTGTCATCTTCAAAGCCTTCAAGAACCTCGTAGAGAATCACTTTAACGTCAAGATTGAAACATTATTCTCTGACAATGATGGAGAATTCTTGGCTCTACGAACACTGTTAACAGAAGCATGAATCACACATCTCACTTCACCTCCTCATACACCTGAACACAATGGAATATCTAAAAGAAAACACAGAAACATTGTGGAAACTTGCCTCACATTTCTTACCCATGCTGTCATGCCGAAGAAGTACTGGAGATACGCCTTCGCTACAGCCACATACCTCATAAACCGATTACCCACACCAGTTATCAACATGGAGTCGCCATTCCACAAACTCTTCGGCTCTCAACAAAACTACAACAATATCAAAGTTTTAGCTGCCTCTGCTTCCCATGGTTATGGCCATACACATCCCACAAACTGGAGGATCGCTCCACTCCCTGCTTCTTCCTCGGATACTCGCCATCACAAACTAGTTACCTTTGTTTACAACCCAGAACATGCCGCATTTATGTCTTTAGACATGTAAAGTTTGATGAGACAGTCTTCCCCTTCAAATCATCCTCCTCATTGACCACACCTCAAACCATGCCTAAAACACCACCTCCTCAACCTATTTCACCACCCATAACACTCAACCCCACCAAACCGATACAACAAAACCAGAACCCAAACAAAACCCAGCCACCACTCATACATCAAACAAGGTCCACGAGCTTAGATACTCACTTGCAGGTACTGGAAAATTCAAACGACACAAGCATATAAGCTGATGGAAACCCATCAGATGTGACACTAATTACACATCAACCACATGGCTCCGCCTCAGCTCAAAGTTCTCCCACTTCAGAAAACGCACAGCAACAACAATCTGACACGATGACTACTGCAACACAATCAACTACGCCGCAACAAGCTGAGCCAGAGCTTCCTAAATACCCTATTATTACATGTCGCAAGAACCAGATCACGAAAACCAATCAATAATACAACTACATGGCTGCTCTCTCCAACATCATACCTGCTGAACCTAACACTATCACACAAGCTCTAAAAGACAAGTTATGGAGAGGCTCCATGTCTACAGAGATAGATGCATTTGCAAGAAATGGAACTTATGATCTGCTTCCTCGTCCGCAATACTACAACGTCATCGGCTGCAAATGGGTTTACAAAAAAAAGTGTCACTCCAATGGGACACACAAATGTTGCAAGTTGCGCCTTGTGGCGAAAGGATACAATTAACAACGGGGACAAGACTACATAGAGACCTTCTCCCCTGTTATAAAATCCACAACGCTTTGTCTGGTTCTAGACATTGTAGTGAGTCACCCATGGCCTATGAAACAACTAGATGTCAACAATGCGTTTCTCCAAGGAACACTCCATGATGAGATCTATATGGAACAGCTGCCTGGTTTCATAGATACAAACAAACCGGATTACGTCTGCAACCTCAAGAAAGCGATATATGGGCTCAAACAAGCTCCCAGAGCTTGGTACAATGAACTCCGAGACTTCTTGCTCAGCCTTGGTTTTCAAAACTCTCTAGCCGATACATCCTTGTTTATATTGCGAAGAGGTACTGAGTTTATCTACCTATTGATTTATGCCGATGACATACTTGTAACAGGGAACACAAGTACTGCCATACAGAAGATACTTCACTATCTAGCTGACAGGTTTTCAGTAAAAGACCCCGAGGATCTCAATTATTTCTTGGGGTTGGAAGCACATTAAACCTCTAAGAGTCTACATTTGAATCAAAGGAAGTACATTTTGGACTTGTTACATAAATATGACATTCCAACGCCAGACAAGTCACCACTTCGGTGGCATCATCGTGAAAATTGCATCTCCACTCCAGAACACCCCTCTCCGATCCAACAAAATATCGTCAACTTATAGGCAGCTTGCAGTATCTTCAATTCACGTGTCTTGACACTGCTTTTGCAGTCAATAGACTGTCTCAGTTCACGCACAAACCAACAGAAGACCAATGGCAAGCACCCAAAAGGATTCTGCATTAGTTGGAACGCCAACGCATGGGATCTTTTTATGTGTAACAAACAAGCTTGTTCTTCATGCCTATTCCGATGCAGACTGGACAGGTGACTCTGATGACTTTGTCTCAACAAACTTCTACATTATCTAACTTGGACAACACCTGATTTCATGGATCTCAAAGAAAAAAAATGGTGTTGCGCGATCATCTACGGAAGCAGAATACAGA